TTTAAGTAAAAGTACGAGTTAAAATTTTAAATGAATTTATTAAAACATTTTACTATTAACGCTTTTCGCGTCACTATCCGAAAGTCATTATTGCAGTATCCTAGGTACGCCACTGTTTCTCTGCTATCACATCTATGAGACATCCAAATATTCTTTTGTATGTTTTAGGTAGAGAGAGTATGGGAGTCACTTGGCTAGTCCACGAACTCGTGATAGAACTAAAAATCGGAATAAAATTATGGCCTAACCATAACCTGGTACACACACTACGTTTCGGTGTCCGCCATATTGGTTCACATACTTCCGGAGTACCTTGTTTCTCAACGTGGTCCTTCAAGCGATTTTTAAAAATGGCTCTGGAATTCCCATAGACGCATAGAGCCTACGGTAGATGGCGAGAAAACTCATCAATTACAAACTGAAAAAAGTGGAGATTTACGCCTTAACCAAGGTTTGGAAGTTAAACTCGACAAGATGATAATTAGACAAAAAAAAAACTTGTCTGATAATTGACACTTTCAATTATATATTCGCTATTTTCATAATACTCGATTTTTTTATTAAATGCTCTGTGGGCCTGGACACAAGAGAATAAAGGTGAAAACTAAAGCTTTAAAGTTTTTATACTTCGTCATATTTGACAATCGATAACGATATTTCTCAAATTATTTCTCTCATCGACAGCGGGCAAATCGTCTGTGAAGACGAATACACTCATGCAATATTTATTCTGAGTAAGTTTTTGTCATTCTAATCGTCACAATTGGTAATGACGTTTTTTATGATGTCATACCGGGAAAGAAATCCATCTGACGAAAACAGACGTCGACTTCAGAGGCCGTCTTTTTAAGTTGAGAACTCTACTTCCCAGCGACAAAAAATGGACCTAAACGGTTCCGAGTAATAAACGAATTGAATTTCAAACTGGGTTTCTTATTGAAGTGCTTTTTTGCGTAGTCCTGTGACGATCAGAAGGATAGGATAGGATTTACATATTTATCCCGGGGGAGAGGAAAGCGGCGCAGCCATTGGTGCGCGAGAGAGAGAGATTTATTTCCACAAACCATGAAAAACAATATTAAATAATATCGATAACTTTATATAGAGTTAGACTATAATGAAAACAATATAAAACAACATCGATAATTTTCGGATGTTTTATGTTGGCCAGTATGCAGGACCGTTGAAGGTCATCGAGGCTCCTGATCCAGCGCGGTGGTGTGGCCATTGTGCTAAGCGTTAGGAATACACTCACTACCGCACCTCTGATTACTATACGTTGGTTCGCAGGTGCGAATCCCATGCGGGGATAGGTATGTGCGAAAGGATCGCTGGACTCCTCGCCATATGGTTAAGCCGTCTTATCGGCTTTTCTCTCCCCCGGGGTAAATATGCAATTTTCGGTAGTCGTCTACGGCAAGTTCGAAACATACTTAAACGATTATTTTTCCAGAGCAAGACTTTTTTGATGAAATGCAAAAAATATCGAAATTTAAAACAATTCCAATATGGGGAGCATATAATAAATTAGCAAAAAACATTTTTGGCGTGATATATGCAATTTTCGGTAGTCATTTACGGCAAGTTTAAAACATACTTTATGGATTATTTTTCCAGAGCAAGACTTTTTTGATGTAATGCGAAAAATATCGAAATTTGAAAAAATTCCAATATGGGGAACATATAATAAATTAGCAAAAAACATTTTTGGCGTGATATATGCAATTTTTGGTAGTCGTTTACGGCAAGTTTGAAACATTCTTTATGGATTATTTTTCTGGAGCAAGACTTTATCGTTGTAATGCAAAAAATATCAAAATTTGAAAATTCCAATATGGGGAACATATAATAAATAAACGAAATCGAAGTTGGACTGAAATCTGACAAACCATACGTTGAATGCATAGTGTTTTTGTTTTCCGAAGTAAAATTCTGAAATAAAAAAACTTGGGACTGGTGAGAACATATAAAGAAAATAAATTCCGATCAGGAACTGTAAGAAATGTTTGCATGCATTTTATGGAACCTTGAGTCCTTCACTTTAAGCACCTTAAGTTAGTCACGCTTTGTGAGTTTATATTGCCCATCTTTACTGTGACGTAATAGTCACTTATTCCCCCGCGCTTTACGGCCTTCTAGAACTTTCCTTGCCACGAGGTAGACGCTTGTTGCGCTTTGCTTATTAGGGAGGATTCTGCGCGACTGCAGAAATTATAGCTTATAGGTTTTACTATTTTCTGGTTATATTACTAAATGATTATCAGGTAGGAATTCTAGAATTGAAATGATTATGTTTATCCATATATTGTCCGATAGGTTGTGAGGATTGCTGTATTTTTGTTGTATCGAATACGTCTGTCACTTATTGTTTTTATTTGTATTATAGCATACTTATGGCTGTTTTTTGAGTCCTTGTCAAAAACAGTCAATTTATCACTAACACTAACGCCGACACTAACCCTAACACTGTTATCACTGACGTCAACATTAGATGTGTTTAAACAAGATAATAAAGTTTCTTTCAACACAAGTCTACGGAATTGTTGGTGTACAGGTTGCAGTGTGTGTTGGTCAGTTGGTGCATAGATTGAAGACATTATTTGGGGACCCAAGGGACAGGACGCGTCTCCAGTTACCCTGTATCTTTGAGTCGCAGTGGGACACATTAGGTACCGTACCCTACGCGTACTTATCCCACATCGAAATAAATTGACTGATGGCTTTAAATGATGAAATTCTTCAATCTGCTGTGTGTCACACCAGCACAGCATTGGATATCCAGACACTGGAAACAATTCGACTGGTTCATGATCGAAACATTACCACATTACTTACCAGTCTTGATAGACTGATGAATATTCCAAATAATCGAAAAAATGTAGTTGCTGCGAAGGATAGACTGGATAATGCAGTTGCTACTTGGGAGGAATATTTGAACAATTACATTACTTCGCATTCAGCAACAACAGAATCTGAAGCCATGAATATTCAAAACGCTTCACAGTATTTAACTCAGCTATATGATATTAGAAAATCCTGTAATATGAAATATCAACTTTATCAACAAGAATGCCTTGCTAGTGATCAATCCCAAGCAAGTACCAGAAAATCCAAACGTTCCCATTCGAAGGCTAGTAGCACAACTTCTTCCACAAAAGCAAAAATTATTAGTGCTGGAGGCAGCTGAACAACTAGAAGAGGCACAGATTGAACTAGCCAAACTTGAAGCTGAAAAAAATGTGAGAAAGGCACTTTATAAACAACAAAGAGCAAAGATCATAGCAGCCAGTAGCACAAAATCCTCAAGAAGTTCATTGATCGAAGTACATGCTCTTGACGAAACACTGTTTGAACCACCCCCAGCGTTGAATTTGCGAAATTATGTTCCGGAATATTCTCGTAACGTCATGCAACCTTCTGTTCAAGTTTCAACAGGAGGTGGAATAACTGACATTCTCAGCTCAGCAATTGACACTTCTACAGGTATGGCCATTACAATGCCTTCTGCTAGTATTACCGAGCTTACGTTGTGTAATTCAACTTCTGTTATCAATAGGAGCCAACAGCTGCATAGAATTATAAATACCACTGGCACCTTACCAGTTGTACCTTCAGCTATACATGATAATATTGCACCATTACAAAATTTGCCTGTTGTGACGACCCCAGGTATCTCTATGGGGCCGGCGTTATCTCACCAAACTGCAAGAAGGAATTTGTCATATCCCACCGTCTCATCAAGTTACCATGATAATACGTTACCTGCATATCCCCCAATGGGGCCGGCATCTATAGGCACATCATTTTCGTATCCTGCTATTTGTGAACCAACTTTTACCTACCCACAAATTTTTTGCCCTGTGACTTATCCTGAGCCCCTTCCTACCTTGCCTACCCGACCCATTATGTCATCAATGGCCAGAGATGACTGTTGGATGCCACCGCCTTTAAGGTCCTATCTTCCTCCTAGTCCTGCACTACCACCAGTAATTTCAAGACCTGATCCTCACACTTCAGTACTCCCGGAATATCCATCTCAACAATTGGATCATAATTATCCCAGCAGAGATGATTTGTATGTTTTGGCAAACACCATGAAACAAGGCTTCACACTGCCTAAACTTGACCCCATAACATTTGATGGTGACCCCAAAAGCTATCATGCATTCATGCGTGGATTTGACAACATTATTGGTCATCACGCCTATGAACCTGCGGTGAAATTAGCTCAACTTATACAGATGTGCACTGGTGAGGCCAAGGATGCTATTAAGCATCTTGTAATTGTCGATTCTCCAAGCGAAGGATATCAAGCAGCACGAGACACCTTACTGTATCGATTTGGAAATCGTACACTAGTCATTGACGCTCACATCCGCCAACTGACAGAAGGACCTAGAATAAGAGCCAATGATACTAAAGCACTGTGTCGACTTGCGTCACAGATGAGAAACTGTTTTATTATTCTGACACAGTGGAAAGCTGAACAAATGCTGGATGCACAAGCTTATCTAAAAGATATATTTCGTCGTCTGCCACCAACATTACAAGCAGATTATGTACATGACACTTCTTGGAAGAATCATCCGATTCCTTCATTCACTCATTTATTGGAATTTGTTGAACTGAGAGCCCATCTCAGTAATAATTTTTATGGACGTTTAATGGCAGAAAATGACAACAAGCCCAGGGCAGTACAAAATTTTAAACCTCGCTTTGGGAAAATGTCTGCCTATTCTACAATCAGTTCTTCAACATCACAGAAGAGGAATTCATCACCTGCTTACAGACCAACACATCACAATGGAAGACAACAAGCTCATGGTGCTAGCCAAAAGCACCCACAAACTTTATGTTTATGTTGCAAGAACGATCACCCTTTATATCGTTGCGCAACATTCAAACAATATGACCTGCAACATCGTCGTGATTTCATTCGAGAGAACAATTTATGCTTCAACTGCATGAGATCCGGACACATCGTCAAGGAATGTCCGTCTCAGAAACGTTGCCAAGCTGATGGGTGTACACGGAAGCACCACACACTACTTCATCAGAATGAAATGCCAACCAGGCCACGATCACCTGTGACCGGAAATATACCCACGGACACTAATAGTAAGGTCAATTCAACAAATGTAAGTTCTTATTTTGCCAATGTTGTCAACTTTTGTGATACTGATTGTTTTGTAAGGCTCATGGTTGTCCCTGTTGAGGTAGAAGTTTGTGATTCGAACCATAAGTCATTGACATATGCCTTCCTAGATTATGGGGCAACTAGATCCTTGTGTTCCACTAAATTAGCTAGGGATTTGGCTCTCAATGGTGAGCCAGAGAGATGTACAATACGGACTGCCACTGGTCCAAAACTTCATGATGGCATGAAAGTTTCATTTACTATTAGGGGTGTCCATGAACCCCAGACCGTTGATGTTCACCATGCCTTGACATTTGACTCGATACCTGATGTACGAGATTCGATACCAAACACTGAGGCCACACAGCGTTATCCTCACCTACGGGACCTAGATTTCCCCTATTGGATAAACCGATCGATTTGCTTATTGGGGCTGATGTCCTGGGTCGTTACCCAATTACCGAAACCCGGGTGGGTGCAGCTGGATCCCCCACTGCATTACACACCATCCTAGGTTGGGCCCTTACTGGCCCAGATGTAAGCATTGCAGAGACCAATGCAGAGGTCAATTATTTGAATACTATACACCCAATTGATTGTGATTTTACTGATTTTTCTAGTTTTAATGAACCTATTTGTCATATGTGTGTTCATGATTTTGCTGATGTCAATGCTAACCCATGTATTACTCAGCCATCCCAAGATGATAGAAGGGCACTTGATTTTATGAACCAAACTGTGACCAAGGTTGATGGTCGGTTTCAAATTGGACTTTCATGGAAGTCAGACACTGTTAGCCTTCCCTATAACCGTAATATCGCTGAGAAGCGACTAACGTATTTGAAACGTAAATTCATGGGGGACCCTGAATTATTTCAGAAATATAGAGATAAAATTGAGGGTTATATTCAGAATGGTTACGCCGAAGTAATCCCATCACATGCACTCACACCCACAAATAAAACATAGTACATTCCACATCATGCCACACACCAATCTAAATTTAGAGTTGTTTTTGACAGTTCTGCTGAGTGTAAAGGAACTTCATTGAATAAAAATTTGCTTTCTGGTCCTGACAACAACAACATGCTAACAGGAGTGCTCATTCGATTCAGGCAAGAATTGACTGCATTTGTTTGTGACATAAAAGAAATGTTCTACAGAATTAAAGTTTCACCTGAGGACACAGATGCTCAGCGGTTCCTATGGTGGAAGGACCATAATTTGGATAGTGTTCCCATTGACTTTAAAATGTTGTCCCACAACTTTGGGAACACTTCATCACCTTCTGTTGCCACATTTGCGCTACACAAAGTAGCCACAGACAATCTGTCGAATGCAGATGAAATGACAGTACGCACCGTTATGCGCAATTTTTATGTCGATGATGGACTGAAATCTGTCGATGATCCATCAGATGCTGTAAGACTAATCAAACAGCTCACTGAATTGTTGGCAACTGGAGGATTTCACCTCACCAAATTTATGAGCAATGATATCAATGTTCTGCAATCAGTTCCAGAAAGTGATCGTGCTCCTGCAATCAAAGACCTCAATCTTGAAAGTAATTCACTCAGTCGCACCCTAGGTGTACAATGGAACATGCACACTGATGAATTTGTAGTATACGTCAACATTGAACCAAAGGCGCTCACTCGAAGAGGCATTCTTTCAATGGTGAGTCAAATCTTTGATCCTTTGGGTTTTGTTCAACCATTCATCTTACCTGCCAAGCGAATTCTGCAGGATCTTTGTATTGAAGGATACTCATGGGATGACCCCATTACTGGTTTACTAAAGGACCGTTGGGAAAAATGGATCGATAAATTACATGCATTGAATGGCCTGGCGATCCCTCGATGTTACAAACCACAAGAGTTCAAAAGCAACAATATCCAATTACATTGTTTTTGTGATGCCAGCACATCTGGCTATGGAGCATCAGCTTACTTACGACTTACTGGCGACAAAGGTGAAGTTCATTGTTCCTTTGTCAGGGGAGTCGCTAGAGTAACTCCTAAGCAGCCACTGACTATTCCACGATTGGAACTCATCGCTGCAGTTGTGGCTGCTGAGCTTGCCAATTCAATTTTACAAGAACTGGACTATACAGTTGACAGCGTTATATATTGGTCAGATTCCATGTCAGTTATCCAGATGATCAATAATCGTTCTGAACGCTTCAAGACATTTGTGGCCAACAGAATAAACACAATTCATCTCTTGTCAAAACCACATCAATGGCACCATGTCGAATCTAAGCTGAATCCAGCCGACATTGCTTCTCGTGGTCTAATGCCAGATAAACTAAACAAGGCTGGTATTTGGTTCAAAGGCCCACAATTTATATGGGGAAGTGAAGATGCATGGACCGTGGTTAATGATGGGATTCATGAAGTCCCATGCGACCCACAACTTGCTTCGGAGATGAAAGTTCATTATACTGAACCTATGAAAGATCTCACAGATTCTTCTCCATTACATGAACTGTTATTGCGTTACTCATTATTCGAAAAGCTACGTAGAGCTGTTGCATGGCTACTACGTTTTCGTACATATGCAACTTGGAAATTCTCACATTCTGACAATTCACCAACTTTGGGATTTTTATCTGTGGAGGAATTAGATTGCGCCACCAAAGAAATTATGAAACTAGTACAACAATCATCCCTCTCAGAGGAGCTCAAATATTTTGAAGATAATACAGATGCTGAGGAAGTACCGTTGAATCTACAGAACAAAAAGAAACTCAAAACACAATTTTCGAAAACACTTCTCAAATGCAACCCTTTTGTACAAGATGGAATCCTGCGTGTAGGTGGACGACTTCGAAACTCTGGTTTACCAGTTGATCAGAAGCATCCGATTATTCTTCCACCATACCATCATGTGACAAAACTGATTATTACCAAACATCATGAAATGACTGGACATTCTGGTACATTACACACACTTTCCTCTGTTCGTGGCAAATATTGGATTTTGAAGGGACAATCTGCTGTTGCCAAGGTTGTTCGTGACTGTGTTGCTTGCAACAGACGTTCTGCAAAAGTAGGAGAGCAGTGGATGGCAGATCTACCATTTTCTCGTGTTACTGCAGGTAACCCACCATTTTACTACACTGCAGTTGATCTGTTTGGCCCTGTAAGAATCAAATTGGGGCGAAGCGAACATAAACGATATGGCTGTATATTTTCATGCATGGCTACAAGAGCAATACATATTGAAGTTGTAGAATCCTTGGATACTTCAGCATTCCTGCAAGCTTTCTTCAGGTTTACATCTAGACGTGGGAAACCTGCTCATGTATATTCAGACAATGGATCCAACTTGGTGGCTGGAAGCAAAGCTATTGCAGATGGTATAAACAAATGGAATTCCAAACAGATTGACACATCTCTATCTCAAAAGGGTATACAATGGCATTTTTCGCCTCCTCTTTCTAGTCACCAAAATGGAGTGGTGGAAAGAATGGTACGAGAGGTGAAAAGAATTCTTCGAGCTCTATTGAATGGCCAGTCTCTCAATGATTACTCATTATGGTCTCTTCTTACAGGAGTGGAGGGAATTCTCAATGATAGACCACTCACACCACTGAGTGATGATCCGAAGGACTTGAATGCCCTCTCTCCCAACTCAATTTTGATAAACAGATTAGAACCGTCTTTACCACCTGATGTGTTCTTTCGAACGGATGAATATAGAAGAGGATACAGACATGTTCAACGATTACTCGATTTATTTTGGCAGCGTTGGACAAAAGAATATCTTCCCCAATTACAGTGCCGACAGAAGTGGCTCAATGTTCAACGCAACTTTCAAGTTGGAGATCTTGTGCTGATGTACGATGACAATTCACCAAGAGGATGTTGGCCCAAGGCAATTGTAGAAGAAACATACCCTGATGATCAAGGGGTTGTCAGACGAGTGAAGGTGCGCACATCCAATTCAACATATGTGCGTGACATAAGGAAGCTTTGTCTACTAGAAGCTGTTTGATACATTTACACATTACATATATAGCAATAGCATCCACACCACGCATACACAATTACACATACATAACATACATTCTCACTATGGGAATATTAGGTGTTTTTTTTGAATTTTTTTTTGAGGGAGATAATTTTTTGGTTTTACCCCCCCTTTTATTTTCGGGGTCTTGCATTGACAATTTCGTTATCTTTATTGATTTGTTACTGTGTTTATCCTTTCAATTGTTTTTGGAACTCAAGCAAACCTTTCTTGTTTTTTGAAAATCATTTTCCTTGTTATCGATATAACATTTCATATAATTTTCGGGGCCGGTATGTAAGAAATGTTTGCATGCATTTTATGGGACCTTGAGTCCTTCACTTTAAGCACCTTAAGTTAGTCACGCTTTGTGAGTTTACATTGCCCATCTTTACTGTGACGTAATAGTCACTTATTCCCCCGCGCTTTACGGCCTTCTAGAACTTTCCTTGCCACGAGGTAGACGCTTGTTGCGCTTTGCTTATTAGGGAGGATTCTGCGCGACTGCAGAAATTATAGCTTATAGGTTTTACTATTTTCTGGTTATATTACTAAATGATTATCAGGTAGGAATTCTAGAATTGAAATGATTATGTTTATCCATATATTGTCCGATAGGTTGTGAGGATTGCTGTATTTTTGTTGTATCGAATACGTCTGTCACTTATTGTTTTTATTTGTATTATAGCATACTTATGGCTGTTCTTTGAGTCCTTGTCAAAAACAGTCAATTTATCACTAACACTAACGCCGACACTAACCCTAACACTGTTATCACTGACGTCAACATTAGATGTGTTTAAACAAGATAATAAAGTTTCTTTCAACACAAGTCTACGGAATTAATGGTGTACAGGTTGCAGTGTGTGTTGGTCAGTTGGTGCATAGATTGAAGACATTATTTGGGGACCCAAGGGACAGGACGCGTCTCCAGTTACCCTGTATCTTTGAGTCGCAGTGGGACACATTAGGTATCGTACGGAACATTAGTTTGTATAATAAATAAATCAAAATCCCATCTCGGTGATCTCATGACATCCGCGCTTCATATGACATCGTGTTACATTAGTGACAGAATTAGTTTCACGATTTATCTTCTTGCAGAATTGGATGCTGGGAATAGACCTTATTCATCAAAAACCCATCCTACGCGCAAAAAGAAAAGTGATGTAAAAAAACAATTTTAACATTAGCTCTCATGGGGAATGTGATCACCAGAGCAGAAATTTGCAATTTTTTAGATATCTTTCATTGTGTACGTGAGCAGTTTTGAGGATAGAATATTTTTTACATCTTTTTTGATATTTTTATCATGATAAACATGGTCAAGATTTTCGATAATCGTTCATTGAAATTTTAATGAGCGCGGTGTTTCCGATGACGTCATTCTCACTAGACCATGAGATTCTGTCAACGCGCCGTTCTCTGTGGAAACTGCTTGTGATAACAGAATACTGGAATACCGGTACCGGCAGCACAACTGGCGTTCAACGAAAGACCTATTTTGGTTTTTATTGGATGTTATATATTTCATGGATTCCATGCAACTATGTACATTTCTGGTACACCTTTCAAAATCCAATGGCCTAACTCGGTTCATATGTTGAGTCTTGTTGACACCATGTACCGGGTATCCCAAAATAGGTGATGTTCAGGGCTGGATTTAGACCATGTGAGGCCCCTTCATATTTTCGAGCTCAGAATTTCTCTTCAAACAACTCCACATGTCATTGCTTAAAATTCAAAAATATGAATGCATTAAATTTTTCATTCTCCCCACTCATGGTTGTGAATTTTTAATTAAAGGAATAAAAATTTACTTGAGGCAGTTTTGCTTTCAATTTCTTTGATCAAACAACCGCTACAGCCATACTTTACCATAGAAACTTCCAGCAGAATGCGTATAATAATAATTTCCCTTATTATGATGCTGTGGTTGAAACCAGTTGTGTACAGAATTTTCTACTCTGAAAAGCTTGATATATTTATATATACGTTTTGTAGGGTTTAAACTTGTCAAGTTTTCAAAAGAATTACAAACTTTGAAACCGAATTTTGAGGCTCTAGGTTTCAGCCTATTGGCGCAGAGCCTTGATTAAATCATAATTGTGGAGCACAGACTCTGCCCACATAGGGTGTACGGATGGCCAATACCAATACTCTTGACGACCAGGTTGCACTCCCAAAAAGACGCGTACTATCACTGTATCAGCATAAGATGTTTTATTTTCTTGTGATGTGTTGCAAACAGTGTAAAACAATACGAACAAACAACGTAGTACGAACAACAATACAGCAGTACGTCAGTACGAACAGATGCACAATACAAAGAAGTACGGTTTTCTGAAATAACATAAAAATAATAAATACACAAATAATAACAAGATCGGGGCAGTATCGTATCAGTAGGCCTATATTATTGTAAACAAACCCTAAATATCTTTGTTACGGCACACAATCACGTAATGACCAAATATGGCATCACTAACGGTTATAATAAATAAACACACAAATAACCTCTGCCGGCACTTTCAAGGCCTGACAGGAAAACAAATACAGACCATGTACAACTTAAAATACAAAACTATATGTATAAACTTACTTGACGTTGTGTCCTCAGGGGTCGTCAAGCAGTAACTTGAACATTAAATCACAATAACTTGACTGAATTACTTAGCAATATTACAATAACAACTGTGAGGAATATCAATAATACACTATTATTAGCAGTACAAATAAATACCCTACATATAACTAACACTACAAGCTTAAGTCGTTCACTAATTAATCAATTATAAATCCTAAAATAACACTCTCAGACCGACGTCAGAGCAGCCATCAGCCGGAAACTTCCAGAACCCTGTAGCGTGCGCGGTCCCCAGACGTCACTTCCACAAAGTCATTGTGGTGCAATAAACAAGCATTCGATAAGCTGGTCCATGGCGCCAACTTGCGGGAGCAATTATTTTACTTCAAGATATTGGCGGTAATACAGCCTGCCTAGCCTATTGACAAATCCAGCCCTGGTGATGGTCCCTACAGCAAATTTCTGGCCTTAATCACTCAGCAGATTGAAATAAATAGTTTTCAGCATTTATCAGCAAAGATAGATATTTTAATTAAACATATAGTTCAACTTAAAGCCTGTATAATGATATTATAAATATATGTCCCATTGTTACTGCATTGTGAGAAGGCTTTCCACACTATCAAGTCTATAAGGTTTTAGCGTCTTCCAATGTCTCAGATGGAAACTTCAGTCTTCATTTCGCATATTCTTTTCATTATTGCCATTAGCATTTGAAGCTTGACTGATTCCAATGTACCTTTTTCATTGTTGTTCAATGTAATAGCCTAAACGTGACTTCAAATTTTTTTCTCACTTCAATCATCACATGTTTGAATACCCGAGCTGACTTCTACTGATTTGTTATTAATTTATAATATTTTTTTATAAATTAACTGTCGTACTTGCTAAGTGTCCACTAAGTGAAAATCTACAGAAAAAACAGTGGTTTAATAATGAACTACATGTTTAACCGATTCCAAAAATATCCCGTAACGCAGTCAAACCTTCCTCCAAGGAGAGTTTTTGTTCAAACATCTCAAATTGTTCAAACATCTCAATTAACTGCTAATCTTGATAGCGAACATGGGGGGCAGGGGCTTTTTAACCTAGTTAGGAGACCGGTATTGTACCATTATAGGTTGGAGATATTCATCTTTTTTGTATACCTGTACCGTACAACTTATCCTGCCTATTGGCAGGCTGGCCAACATTTTTGTTCGTGGGCCTATTTCAGTATTTGCTAAATAATTTAGTTTTCACCACTTGCAGCCTTGGTACGGTACCGGTAGTTTAAATAACACGTCAGCATGCCTTCAGTAAATGATTGCTAGCGCTACAGGTATAAATGCGTAAAACCAGTAAACAAACGTGATAGTATAGAAATGGTATGGGTTATAGATTGTCAATGTTAAACGCTTCCAGTACCGGTACCGTACCCAAAGCCACATTAGCGCCGCATTTGCAGCGCGTATGCCACAGAGCATGGCGAGTTGGCAGAATCTCATGGTCTAGTGAGAATGACGTCATCGGAAACACCTCGCTCATTAAAATTTTAATGAACGATTATCAAAAATCTTGACCATGTTTATCATGATAAAAATATCAAAAATATTGTAAAAAATATTCTATCCTCAAAACTACACACGTATACGGTGAAACATATCTAGAAAATCTCAAAAAATGCAAAATTTTGCTCTGGTGATCACATTTCCCATGAGAGCTAATGTTAAAAAAAATTTTTTACATCACTTTAATTTTTGCGCGTAGGATGGGTTTTAAATGACTAAGGTCTATTGGCGGCCAGGATAACCCAGGTGAATTTAGTCAGTATTTATGGCCGTTGTTTCGATTGCGAGTTTTCTGTTTTATTTGTGTTTATTTTCAGTCCTGTTAGGTTTTAGTCATGATGAGATATAGATATATAGGATATAATATTCGGCTTTAACTGTGACATCGCGAGGAGTTCGAGTTTGGCCGTACGTCTTGAAAAACGTATTTTTCACAGGCTGGGATAGATTAAGACAAAATTATTTGTTAGGAATAACGGCAACTGACAACTATATTTATTACCATAGGACCATCTGTGGATGCCATTTTTATTTTATTTATACAGCTATTTCCCGTTAAATCGTTTATGATAGGCAGTTAGGCATTAAAAATTCGACATGTGGTCAAAGCGCTTTAGACAGGTATAGGTAGGCTTACCAAACGTCCCGCTTTACGCGGGACAGTCTCGTGTTTTAGCGTGTTATCCCGCCGTCCCGACAAGTCAGCCAAAAGTCCCGCTTTGGCGTTCAGTCATCCACTATAATACACGAACATTACCAATTAACATGTTTTTGTTACTGTTGTTGCAGCGCTAGCCCACTTGCTGGAGGTAAATGCGTTCTTTTGTTTGTTTCGTTGTTTCCCGTAACGTAACCCATGTAAAATAAATAGTAATTGGTCTTGTTCTGGCGTTTACGTGAATGTAACATTGAACAACGTCTTTTTGACGAAGGCGTTACCTACAGAAAAGCATGCTTGGGCGAATAAGTAAATTCTCAATGCTTGAAAACGGCAGGCTATCTTTCTTCTATTTTGCTGTACATAAAAAAATCTAAATTCGAATTATTTGTATCATTAACGTCAATTCTTTTCTATTTTTCGAACTGAACCCGATATTTGGACCCGATAATATGCGCATGAACTCTCGATAGCAATATGGTCAATGAAGGCAGCAGGGATGGCTTTAATGTAGGCCTATGTAGTAAAATCGGAAAATGTAAAGTCACAAAATCACAGCTAAGGGATCGTTGTCTTTGGAGGCGTCCCGCTTTGAACTCACAAAAATATGGTAACCCTAGGTATAGGACTCTTATAATGAAAGGAAAAATGACAGAACGGCATAATCGTGTAGCGAACCATGGCCCTCGTCCTGTTTGTTGTACTAGTCCATAATGAGAACCAGGATATGTCACCAGTCAAGATTCGCGGACTTCATGGTGAAGAAAGCTGCAAGCCACCAGCGATTACGTGAACGGAGACTGAGATCAACAATCCCGCACATAATTGACAGAGACGGGCTAACTCTAGTCTAACCCAAGGCTTCGACTTCGCGATGACATGCAGGGTAATCAGAAATTCGGTGGCAAGCGTGTTCCCAAAAAACGCTAGTTGTTGAATACAGAACTTGACACGATTGTAACCAACGATATCTAATCTGATTATTGTTTTTCTGGAACTAAGGTCGTAGCGAGTCGTCACGTACAACAGTAAAGAAT